TTGACTTGAGTCATTTTTTACTTTTGAAAACCGTTTTCTTATCTATACTTCCATAGTTAACATTTTAACGGAAAAAATTATAGTTTCACCGTTAACATCTGTCGTTTCCATACGAACAACAAACCTCGAAATTCGTGCTATCTGAAGATAAACACGGTCTTACCTTTTAACGCATGATTCTTAGCGACCCCAAAAATGATGCCATGATTATGTACTCAAGAAAAATGAAATATCTTTCATATATTAAAAATTGGATTTTTCTTAACAAAAACAAAAGAAAACTTGTTCAAAGTTGAAAAGGGAATACATTTCTGAAAGCACATTGGCCTGAAAATATCTGAAAACAATCCCAATATCGAAAAAATCGACTCATTTTTCAATTATTTAAGTTGTAATAAACAACACCCCCTATAGTTATACCCGGGAATGAGTGAGTGATTTAGGCCAACATGTTTTTTTCAAAAATTGTAGTATTCTTTTAGTTATCCAGCTAAATATAACGAAACGAAATGTGGAGACTGAGAATTCGGAGTTTCGTCTATCTAATGCTTGAATCGTGATACAAAACCTAACGATCATTACCCATTGATGCCAAATGTATGGGCTTTGTATAATGCGTGATATCTAATGGGACTCGTATGAACCGTATTAAATCCGCACAATATATATAATTTTATACATATCTGCTAGCGCGCCCCCTACCTGAAATAGCGAGAACTAAAGGTGTATATCTTGAGACGTTTTCCATCGTTATATATTTGGTTTCCCAGCTGCAGGAAAACCCGGAAAAACCTGCAGAACCACATCATTTGAAGATCTTGATCTGCCAATATCCTCTCTCTCATAAAACAGAATGTAGGGTGTCTCCAGAGGTTCCACTAAATTCAATGCATCACCAAAACCTTCGTAAGAGTTTGGTGCTTCCGTCAGAGGTTGAGTCATGTTTGAAGATCATCAGTGTTTTTATTAGATTGACTGGTGCCTCAGGTAAACTTGTTTTCAGTCAGTTAGTTTGGCGCATATTTGGCAATACAGTCGATCATCACGTGTTAAAAGTTCCATTTTCAGATGATTTAACAATAAGCTTTGCATGGACTGGTTATTAGTCATATTAGGAAACGCTAGTTGAAGTTCCAGAAATTCACATACGTTTTTGATACCCCTTGAACATTCACTTCAAAGTTAACAAGTGAGGATTTTTCCAGCAAAAGATTTACAAACACAAGACGAGATAGACTGTACGGAACCATTCAATCTAGAACGGTCAGGAGTATTGATTCTGCTATTGTTTTGCTCACGAAGAGTATTCAACAAGAACCTCAAGAATTGGGAACAATCCTCTTGTTGTCCTAACGAGTATCTAGTATACTTCAAAGACTCCAGGAAATCGGTTGGAGGGAAAGATGATACATTCTTACGAAACTGCAACTGCATGAACAAGTGTTTGAGTTTGGTGAATAGATAGGGAACATTTTCGTACTCGTTCATCCTTAAAACCTCGTTCTTGAAATTCTTCGTCGTGAACAACACTTGTAAAATGCTATTCATGTAGCAAGTGTTTCCTAAATTATCTAATCCAATTTTCTTCTCAAGATTTTCAGGACAACTCTCTACTGATTCGTAAGGAAGAACATGTTTCACAGAACCATTTCTCAAGCTGCAATATATACAGTGTCATCCCCAAAGTATGCACCATATGGGAAACTCATTTATTAAGGGTTTTTCGACAAAATTTTACTCTTGATAAAAGTTTGTGCATTCCCTAAAACTGAACATGTACCAACAAAATACAGTAGAACATGTACCAACCAAAATACAGTAGAACATGTACCAACAAAATACAGTAGAACATGTACCAACAAAATAGAGTAAAACACACGTAATATACGAAGAGCCTTCAAATATTTGATTTTGAGACAAGAATAAAGAACTCTTATTTTGAAAAATCTCGGGCAATATTATAGTCTCTCATGGAGACTATGATGTGAAGTTTAAAGTTGACAATAATGAAATCATTGACAGTGTTTTTTTTTACCTTATTGCCAACGTACAATGAGAGATGAAAAATAAAAAATATAAAAACGCTAACTGTCTAGGGTTGCCAATATTATATTATCTTTGGAAGGGTTATATCAGTTGTTGGAAGTCCCTTGTAGAGGGCGACTTATTAGATATGAGTAAATTATGCTAAGATGATTTATGCCAGTTCTATAATTGATTGAATTTGGTTCTTCAAAAATCTTTGTCATTTCGAGAAAAGTTCTCTTTTTTGAATTGGA